TCCCAGAGACGAGCCTATGAGCTCCATTTCATCAACCTGCTGGATACTAGAGATCAGGGACTAAACATAGACATTGGATTTTTGATACATTACAATCTACCTGGCACCTGACTCCCCAGCCCAGCCCAGCCCCTGGCTTCTTTACTTTTCATTCCATCCAGGAAGAGCACACACCAACTGCTGCAGCTTCCTTAGCCTGACGAAGGGTTTTTGAACCCGAAAGCTTGCTCAATAACTATTCTCCAACCATTTGGGTTGGTCTAATAAAAGATATCAAATTCACCCAAGGAACCTTGTCTGCCTATTCCCTGCAATTCTTTCAGTGCAGGAGGAAAGGCGGGAGGAGTTAGATTCATGCTGCACTTGCTTGAGTGCATTGCAGCACTGACTTCCAGCCATCTGTCACCTCCCCCCCTGTAGCTTTCAACTTCCTCTTCTGTGCTCCTTCTGCAGCTGCCTCCTACTTCCCTGTCAAGTTTCTTCATTGTGAGGCTTAATCTGGCTACGTTGATCCTGTAAGGTGGTTGGAGGGAAGAGGGCTGATGTATGTCCTGGAGTACACTTCTGTGATGTCTTCAAGGAAACATAGCGCTAAGGATGGAAATGGAATGATTAAATAAAATGTGGACTTTATAGTGGTGTGGTAGTTAATAAGGTGATACTATCTTATCTGTTAGGAGGTTATTTTACTTTTCTAAGAGCTTGTCTTCACTGCATACTTGATAAGGTCTGAATTAGTTTTTGCTCCTTTAATCCTATCCACATGCAAACCGTCACTGCTGTGTTGTCATTCTTTTAACTCAAGTTGCCTGGTCAATCTGAGCATAAAGACCAAATTTCCAGTTAGCACAGTTCATCTGCTGCTTGTACAACCACTTTGTGCTACTTAAGGTATTTTGTATTGTGGCTGCTCTTACTTGAACCAGACTAGGGGTCAGTAATCCCTGGTACATGTGCCGTGAAGCCATTTTGCTTGGCACTCCGCATCTGGCCTGGGCTCTGGGTAGGCCCCTGCCTCTGGCCACAGAGGCCGGACTGCTCCTAACAAATGGCAAAGAGGCTGCAAGCAGCTGCACCCGGGTCCTTGGAGCCATGGCCTGGCTTTTTGCCAGGAGGAGATGCATGCACGTTTCTGAGCAAACAGCGGGGAAAGGCCAGGGCTGTGCTGCCACAACAAGGATCGGGCCCCTTGCAGCTCCCCTGCCATCGGTCCCTCGGCATGCCAACATTTTACAACTCGAGGTTGCCGGGATTTTGGCACTCTGCCCAAAAATGTTGCTGACCTTGAGCTAGACTAACTCTGGTAGAGTTAACTCCTGCACTTGAGACATCCAGAAATGTTCTAAAATAGATTTGCTCAATCAGATGGTCTTGAAATTTGATGTGGCTCATGGGGAACTTGGGTAAGATTTGCTGTCTATATTTGGGGTCACAGGAGCTAAAGTTTGATTTCAACTAACACATTAACTGGGGAATGACTGTGTGGGCTGTAGACATTCTGGAGGACTGGGCTGGGATCCGGAATGACCTGAATAGACTGGAGAGATGGTCCAGAGTCGACCAGATGATATTCAACCAGCACTAATATGAAGTCCTGCACTTGGGATGAAATAATTACATGGACAAAATAATTGTATGCATGGAATAAATTGCATTCACCTCTATTCCTGGTTTGGTGGCATATAACAGATGCCAACTGTGACATTCCTCCTGCTGCTCTCCCTTCTGACCTTAACCCAGAGGCTTTTAACAGGTCTACTTTCTATTTTGTACTGCACCTCAGAACAAATTAGAGCAACACTTCATCCTTTTTTTCCCTGCCTGTCCTTCCTGAATAAGTTGCACCCATACATGACCATACTCCAGTC